TAAAATATAAAATAATTTTTATTTCTTATAAGAGGTTTGGTTCACAGTCCAACTCGAACCAAGCCAAATTCGAGCTTAAGTCTCTAGCTTGAATCGAGTTCAAGCTCAAACTTGAACCTAACATTCTTTTGGTGAGTCAAGCTCAAATAACCAAATATGCAGCTCAGATTGGCTCAAATCGAATCCACCCTATTTGTGGGGCACATATGGGATGTGCTTTGTGGAGAATCCATCTCATCTCTCGAAGAATTCATGCCACCACAACTGATCAGGCTGAATGATGGGCCCTCATCGATGGCTTAATAAGAGCAGAGCATTTGAACATCAAGTCTATTCCTTTTTTTTTTGCGACTAAGCAAGTATTATAAATACCATTATGAAACTAATGAAAGTAGGGCTGCAAGTCGGGCCGGGTTAGGTCGGGTTGAGGCCAACCCTAACCCTAACCCAACCCGACCTTCAACCCAATCTACCCAACCCTAACCCTAACCCTAACTAAATTCCTTCAACCCCAACCCAACCCAACCCAATCCAACCGGCCCAATTCAACCTTCTTTCCATCCCTTAAAATCTCATAAAACTATTCAATCTCAAATCTTATCTCACTTTTCACTATATATATTAATTCTATGTTTTATTAGTGATGTAATCGTTTTCGGTCACATACAATTTTTTTGTGATGTGTCAATTTTTTGGCTAAGTACTTCGTCATTTGACTTGCTCCCGGGTGACCTGTGACTCAGAGGATGGTGGAGCTCCTTGGTGGCGAACTGCCTAGTGGTGAGCTACTTGGTAGCAAGCTCCCTGGTGGTGAGCTACCTTGATGATCTGTTGGGTGCGCTGCCTTGGTGGCGAGCTCCCTAGTGTAGTGCAACCCGACTGCCCTCTGCATGAGATAATCTGCTCCTCTTTGTAGACGGCAGGAGCTGAGGAACCTGCGAGAACTAAATCAGAGGACCTGGGGGTGTTTATCCGGCGAGGCCACTCTGATGCTTAAGTTAGCATTCTGATAGTAGAGAGCTTGAAGATGATATTAGAGAAATGAGAGAGCTAGAGAGCAGGGGTTACCTCCCTTTTTTCATCCCCCTTCCCCTCTGGGGGGTCAGAGCTCTTATATAGTAGTGTCCTGACAGATCTGGCGTAACCGCCTCTGATTCTCTGTCGCAACCGTTACTTGCCAGGGCTAAGCTGGTGGGCGCAGGTAATCGTTGCAGAGTACGGCCCTGCCAGACAAGGGACACCTCTCAGGGTTGGCAGGCACGATGCTTCCTGGCGAGAGACGTGGGCGCAGGTCTCCAGATTTGGCAGGTACGGTTGTCAGGTAGGAAATCTTCCTGCGATACGCCGAGCTGCTCTGCAACGAGCTACCTTGCACCGAGCTACTTTTCTCCGAGCTGCTTTTCACCGAGCTGCCAGTAATGTGCCGAGGTGTTTCTACCCGAGTTGTTCGTAATATGCCAGGCTGCCTGTAAATGGCGAGCTGCCTATGCCGAGCTACTTGTGGCAAGCTACCTGTAAGTGTCAAGCTGCCTGCAAGTGGCGAGCTGCCTATAGGTGACGAGCTACCTRTAGCTAGCTCGAGCTGTCTAGTTGTCAAGAGGCTGCACTTAGTTGACATGAGGTGTCAGGTGTCATAATTTCACTGGAGGGCCAAATCTGCCATCATCATTTGTCCCCCACTCCCGAGCTGAGAGTAACTCAGTGAAGGGAGTAGATTTCTCCTTTTGGCCCGTAAGTCGACGAGCTAGTAAGCGCTGATCCAATTTCTTAGGCTCTGGGAGCTGCCTATAAGGTGAGGAGGTCTCCGTCAGTTTAGTACTGTAGCCCTTAGGCTCTGGGGGCAACTTATAGTCCATTTTTGCTGATTTTGCCCATGCTGAAGAAGCGCTTGGGTCTTAAGCAGTAATGTGGCCCGTAGGCTTGGGAGCGACTCATAGTCCACTCTTCTTGACCTTGCCCATGCCGAAGAGGCGATTGGGTCTTAAGTAGTTGTGTTGCCCATGCCATAGAGGCGACTGGGTTTTTCAGTAGTAATGTTGTCCATGCCGTAGAGGCGACTAGGTCTTTCGGTAGTAATGTGGCCCGTAGGCTTTGGGAGCGACTTGTAGTCCATTCTCCTTGACTTTGCCCATGCCGAAGAGGCGATTGGGTCTTAAGCAGTAACGTGGCCCGTAGGCTTTGGGAGCGACTTGTAGTCCACTCTCCTTGACTTTGCCCATGCCGAAGAGGCAACTGGGTCTTATGTGGTGCCAAGGTCTCTACTTGTGAGGTGTTGAGCTGCCTGTGAGGTGCTGAGCTACCTGTGAGGTGTCGAGCTGACCAGGTGCCGAGCTACCTGTGAGGTGTCGAGCTGACCGGGTGTCGAGCTACCTGTGAGGTGTCGAGCTGACCAGGTGCCGATCTACCTGCGAGGTGTCGAACGACCGGGTGCCGAGCTGCCTATGAGGTGTTGGGTTGATCGGGTGTCGAGCTACCTGTGAGGTGTCGGGCTAACCGGGTGCCAAGTTGTCTGTGAGGTGTCGAGCTGATCGGGTGTTGAGCTACCTGTGAGGTGTCGAGCTACCTGTGAGGTGTCGGGCTGACCGGGTGCCAAGCTGTCTGTGAGGTGTCGGGCTGATCGGGTGCTGAGCTACCTATGAGGTGCCGAGCTGACCAGGTGGGTGCCTTAGAGCTATGATTGCGTTGCATCAGCCTCGTAATGCCAGTCACCCACTCCTACAAGAAGCTACTAGGAACTCGATCTTCGAGGGCAACATTACTAACTTTAGGTCACCAGCTCCCGCGGGAGCCTTGGAAGGCTCGACCGGCAAGGGCACCCATGTAGTCTGTTGGCTACAACTCCCGTAGAAGCCGCAAAGAGCTCATCTTTGTAGGGGGACCTCACGAAGAGGACTGGCGAGGTTTTATCTGAATTGAAAGTAAAGTTGGTAGAATTGCTTAATCTGTTAGCTCCCTGCATAGTCTTTGAGTTCATACAAAATGGAAACTATAAAGCGAGAGTTTCGGTTTCTAAAAAGTGAGGACTTAGCTTTTTGGGAGGAGAGGACTTAGCTTTTTGTAGGATGAGAACTTAGCCTTTGTAGGATGAGAATTTAGCCTTTGTAGGATGAGAACTTAGTTTTTGTAGGATGAGAACTTAGCTTTTTGTCGCGTGTTCCCATAGACGGCGCCAATTGATGTAACCGTTTCCGGTCACGTATTTTTTTGTGATGTGTCAATTTTTTGGCTAAGTACTTCGTCATTTGACTTGCTCCCGGGTGACTTGTGACTCAGAGGATGGTGGAGCTCCCTAGTGGTGAACTGCTTGGTGGTGAGCTACTTGGTAGCGAGCTCCCTGGTGGCGAACTGCCTGGTGGTGAGCTAGTTGGTAGCGAGCTCCCTAGTGGTGAGCTACCATGATGAGCTGTTGGGTGCGCTGCCTTGGTGGCGAGCTCCCTGGTGGAGTGCAACCCGACTGCCCTCTACATGAGATAATCTGCTCCTCTTTGTAGACGGCAGGAGCCGAGGAACCTGCGAGAACTGAATCAGAGGACCCGGGGGTGTTTACCCGGCGAGGCCACTCTGATGCTTAAGTTAGCACTCTGATAGTAGAGAGCTTGAAGATGATATTAGAGAAATGAGAAAGCTAGAAAGCAGGGATTACCTCCCTTTTTCATCCCCCTTCCCCTCTAGGGGGTCGGAGCTCTTATATAGCGGTGTCCTGACAGATCTAGCGTAACCGCCTCTGATTCTCTACCATAGTCGTTACTTGCCAGGGCTGAGCTGGTGGGCGTAGGTAACCGTTGCAGAGTATTGCCCTGCCAGACAAAGGACACCTCTTAGGGTTGGCAGGCACGATGCGGCCTGGCGAGAGACGTGGGCGCAGGTCTCCAGATTTGGCAGGTATGGTTGTCAGGTAGGAAATCTTCCTACAATACACCGAGCTGCTCTGCAACGAGCTACCTTGCACCGAGCTACTTTTCACCGAGCTGCCGGTAATGTGCCGAGGTTCTTCTACTCGAGTTGTTCGTAAGATGCCAGGCTGCCTGTGGCGAGCTGCCTATGGCAAGCTACCTGTAGCGAGTTGCCTATGTTGAGCTGCCTGTGGCGAGCTGCCTATGCCGAGCTGCCTATGGCGAGCTGCCTGTAAGTGGCGAGCTGCCTGCAAGTGGTGAGCTGCCTGTAGGTGACGAGCTGCTTGTAGCTGGCTCGAGCTGTCTAGTTGTCAAGAAGCTGCACTTAGTTGGCATGAGGTGCCAGGTATCATAATTTCATGGAGGGCCAAATCCACCCTCGTCAATTAGTATTTGTTTGTTGATGTTTTTATTGGTTTTTTTAGTACAAAATCGAAAAAGTAAGTGTTTGAAATGACTATAGTTTATATGAGTTATGACTTATGATAGATCTTTTATAGGCTCCAAACATTAGAAAAGAGATGAAGAATAAAATATTTAAAAAACATAACATTTGTTATTAAGGTTTTAATGTTTTCATTTAGGATTAAGTGAAGTGATTATTTTAAAAGAAAGACATGATAATATATAGTGGGGGCTATATATATACTGTAGAGTCGAGTTCGGATTGGGTTGGATTGCCCAAAGGGTCAACCCTAAACCAACCTGAAATAAAGCCGAATTCATGGATTTCAACCCTAATTCTAACCCTAACTCGAACATCACCCCGACCCGAATTTAATAGTAAATGTATAAAGCATATTACGTGTGCTAATACTGCTGCCCAGCTTACAATGCCTGTAATAGTTTACCAATGGGTTAAAGATGTCAGGCTTGTCAGCAATCTATATCTATGTACACACTCTTCATATGTTTAATGAAGCTCAACCTTTTCTGCCAAAAAACAATATAATGTTCTAGCAAAGGAACAATATAACGCTAAAATCGTGAGATTGGGACCGTTGGATCTCATTTTATTCCTAGGATTAGCTTTGGTGAATCATAGCTGGGCACCCAGAAAATGGTACGATGCCGTTTATTTGTTTTTAATTTTTTATAAGCGGGTTTGATGATTTGATCGAGTTGGGATCTCCATCTCACCATGTGCAGTGGGAGGAGATCCGGACTCGATTTGAGTGACGATCTCAGGTGGGAATTGGGATCTCCATCTCACCATACCGTTGATGTTCAGCTGAGCTGTTGAGACTTGAGAGCCTGAGCCTGACAAAGGTGTATGCCAATGCCATTTCTGCAAACAAGAGGGGCATATAATAAATCGGTCAAACATATTTGAAGCTTGGACTAGCCGTAGTCGTCGTGGTTGGCGGTTAGTTGTTTTCTTTCCCTCCCTCCCTCTATACTCTTCCTGTAAAACCCATCGTCTTTGATTTTTTTCTCTTTTAGCTGATTCAGATTCAGATTCAGATCTATTCGCCTCAGAGAGGTAGAGAGTGAGAGAAAGATCGAAAAGGAGAAACCATGGCGATTGTCTCTCCTCTCGCCAAATACAAGCTCGTTTTCTTAGGAGATCAGTCCGTTGGGAAAACTAGTATAATCACCCGTTTCATGTACGACAAATTTGACACTACATACCAGGTATTACGAATTTTCTCCGTTATAGATTTTCGCTAGTTCTGATTATCTGTCGTATTTCCAATTAGTTTCAGTGTCTTGCTGTACCGATTTGTTTTGTTTTTTCTTTCATTAAATTTGCATTGGTTGTTAGTGATAATTTTGGTTGCTGTTTGTTCAAGACTAAGGTCTTGCTAATTTGGAAGAATTGGAATTCATAGCATACTTTCAATCTTGGATATTCTTTTTTTTAATATTTCAATATGTGTTTTCGCTAGCTATGTTTTAATTTTGCTGATCCTTTATTTTGTGTACTTGCAGCCTTTGCATGTAGATAGATCAAAATCTTACATGTGGATAGATAGAAAATTGTTGCTTCTGGTTTATATGTTATGATGAGAAACCGTTGATAATAATGGGCTCTCTTTCAAGGAAAAAAAACGAACTCTAAGTCTCTAAGGCATTCGTCTTCTGGGATCATTTGAATTGTAGATTAAATATAAGTGGAGTTTATATTTAATGAAAGACTTAAAATCATGCCATTTTATTCCTTAAAGATGTATATTTAAACTAGTTTTCAAGTGTTTTCTTTTCTGTGTTACTTACAGGCTACAATTGGTATCGACTTTCTGTCAAAGACGATGTACCTTGAAGATAGAACAGTTCGTTTGCAGCTTTGGTAGGACATTTTCCTCTTCTGCTTAGCATTTATCGCTAAGTTGATTTATTTTAGTGCTCGCCTGTGTGGTATGTGAATAATTGCTCAAGAGCTTTTTCCTCGGTTATATCAATTATCATGTCTTGGGTGCATGAGCGATAAACAGCTATCTTTTCTTTGCAAAAAATTGAAAGCACGAAGTGAGATGCATGTGAAACATAGAAGGAAAAATACAAGATATYTAGCTAATAGAGGAGTGTTCCTTGGTCCCTATGGAAGATCTTTTTTTCTTTTTTCTTTTTTCTTTTTTTTTAATCTTTTTTACTTCTTACTTTCCTCCAATGGTTCTTGTTCAGCAATTTGCTTCTCATTTTGGTAAAGATGGCTATTAGTTGTAGGATGAAAGAAAATATGAAATGTAGATCACTGAATTCCTGTCTTATTCTGTATATAATGGTTTATGGATGCCTCTGCCTCCATCCAAGTTTTGGAGATTTACATTGTATTTTCTGCTTTTTTAAATTTCATGAATGAATATATAATATCATAACCTGCAGAATCAGTTTATACCCTAATGTTATTCGAGCTAGAAGAGCATATATCTGTTTTCCAAATGAAAGCAGTTTATTAGTTGCCAGGAACCACCATTGCCAAAATTAAATTTATGGTTGTAATTCTGAAATGAAAATATTTTTCCCTGACCATCATGCTGAGGAAGAAATGGTGTAGTCTAATTAGTTTTATTTAGATTTTTATGAAATTGGAGGGTTTCAAGATGGTAGAAAACCCCAGATATTCTCAATATTTTGGCAGAATATATTCTAAAGGTTTACAGTGGAGAGTGGAGACAATTCAACAACAAAGAGTTGGGGAAAAAGCTCCAATCATGGGGCTAATCTCAAATATTATTGACAAAATAGTGGAATACAAAATAAAATACACAAGGACATGGATAAAATGATATAATTACCATTAGACAGTTAGGAGACAAAGTAAACAATAATATAGCTGCTGCAATAAGAAACAGACATTATGTAATTGTTAGTTTCATATCCTACATGACTTCACTGGTAACTTAACTGTTTTTTAATTTAAACATCAAAGAGTAGAATTTTTTTTTTTGTTTGATTTTTGGTTTTCAGCCATGAGTATATTTCGGAAAAGGAAAACCAGGTAATCAGGAGACAATAAGTGGAAATTCAGAGATAGGTGTCTTGATGTCTAACAGATACAAGGCATCAAACAAGGTGATTTAAAGATGCTTAATAAACTAAGCCTAATCAGGAAGTATTTCTTATACATGAAAGATGTAGTACATTTAATTAAGAAGCATTGAAGGAATATTTATCTGCTTATCTTTAATCTTATGGTGCATTTTTCCATTTCCTAATATCTAATGAACTTAATCTAGTTTGGCATGAATAATCAAATGTGTGATGTTTCTTAATTATGCACATTCATATGGATTTATTATCAACTGGTACTCTCAAGGTTGATATTTAATTTAATACCATCTGACCTGAATCAAATTTTCTTCTCATCATTTATTATGCACATTCATATGGATTTTTGTTTGCACATAATAGGAGATTTTTCTGTTTATAGTCCAATTATTAATATCCATATGATGTTTATCCTTCAAAATAAAATTAACATCAGTATAATCCTCTAAAGCTTGACATCATGAATTTTCAGGGATACCGCAGGACAGGAGAGGTTTAGGAGTCTCATACCAAGCTACATCAGGGATTCTTCTGTTGCAGTAGTTGTCTATGATGTAGCTAGTAAGTAGTAGCATTTGCACCATAATTTTATTCTGATATTTGACTTGGACTTGATGTTGATCACTGGTTGAGTAATATCTTATCTATCAGCCTCATAAGTGAATTTCTCTCTCACAGTGCTTTTTCTAATGCTTGGTGATCCTTTATTTAATTTATAGACCCCTGAGCATCTTTGAAAAGTTTACATAAAGTTCATCTCAGGCTTCAGATTAGCCTGATATCAGATAGGAAGGGATTTTAGCATAACATCTATAGCTCATTTGTCATACCTGTGGGTACTTGTCAAACAACAAAATTTTCCAAACTTATCTTTCAGTCTACCTTTGTCACAAGTCCGATGGGTGTTTCCCCCTGTAATCTTTCACAATGTATAAGAATGTTGATGCTGGATATGCAGAAGATAATCAGAGAAGTTAATTATTCCATCTAATTTCTTTCCGTTTTAAGAAAAAAGGAGAAAAAATGCAGATTGGTTTGTCATTATTTTTCCTTAGATGGAATTGCTTGGGGGCAGGTGAATTCTGACCTTAAAATTAGAGGTGTGTTTTTAGTGCACAAGTTGGCCCGTGGTTAGTCGTTAGAGGCTGAAGACAGGATTTGATCCTAGGGTGGAGAGAACCATAAAAGCACACTCATGCATTAACTACATGGCTGGGATATTGAAAAGATCAAAGAATACAAAATTCCACATTGTATACAAACTCCAGCATCTTTTGGCAGATCTTACACATGTCAACAGGATACTCATAACCATACTAAAATGCATTTTTATTTATGAAAACCTGTTTCCTTTTTCAAACTTCAAAAGTGTTAAAATAGTTATACTGATAATTGACACAGGTCTTGAAATTCTTCCAATATTAAATACAACATTGATGATTTGATGCATCCAGGTTAAAAATATATTTGATCATGGCCAATCAGGTGTTATTTATCAAAATTCATGGGTGGGTTTTGATTGGTCAAAACTCTTCCCATACCATATCTTTTTTGCATCACAGATTTTCCCTATATATATATATATTATATTCACATTTATTCAAGTCAATTAAAAATTACTGTCTTTTGAATTTGTTTGCAGAACCAAGAACTTGAAATTTATGAAATCAATTCAAACTTTCAATTGTTCAAAATAACCACCAGATATCGATTTATATAATTCACTTGAACCATGCAGATTTCCATTCTCAATTTTTGTTTCTAACTTAATACAGATCGACAATCATTTCTGAATACTTCCAAGTGGATTGAAGAAGTACGGACAGAACGAGGCAGTGATGTCATCATTGTCCTTGTTGGGAACAAAACTGATCTTGTTGACAAAAGGTAGGTACTGAACTTAAGAGTTTAATATATTAACATTTATGAATAATTTCCATTTCTGATTGGCTGCTTTCTTGGGCATATGCAAATCCAGTTTGGTATATCATTCTCTTACTTCCTAAGCATATCTGAACTTAAATGCATTATTTGATCTAGTCCTGTAATGGTGTCAAAGTTTAAATTTCTCTATCTTGCATGGAATCTTCAAAAAATGGATACTGTGTACATGCCAGATACATAAATTTTAGTATAAATTCCATGTTGTGTACACCTTGCCCAACCAATGTCCTTGCAATGTCCATGTAACCAAGGAAAATTTTAATTAATGTTATTAACTTTTGGCACATCATACTGACGATGTCCTAGCAATCAAATAGGCAAGTTTCAATAGAGGAGGGAGATGCCAAGTCCCGTGACTTTGGTGTTATGTTCATAGAAACCAGCGCTAAAGCAGGGTTCAATATTAAGGTGAGCACTTTCTTTTGTCTTTTTGCTGTTACCTATAATTTTTCATTTCTCCTTTACTTCTGAAGATTACTTGCATTAGGATGCAAAATGGGGAAAGAGAATACTGCGTGTTTCATACATGTAGCCAATTTCTGATTCTTTTGCTACATTCTTCTGAGAGGTCTCTTCTAGGCCAAAATTGACCTGCTCATTTATTGCAATCATATAATTCATCATGCACTCTTTTGGACCATCAGACCAATAATTTAGAGTCCAGAGAAACAATTGCAATCACTTGTAAGAGTCAACTTCTGGGCCACCAAGTTTTCCTTGTCATTGGACACACACAGCCTTGGGTCCCATCTTTCCATGTGTTCAGCACAGACATGGACGGGCACCTATTAGCAATCTCATTTTTTCATTACCTTCTTTTTTTCTCTCTAGTGTCATATAGATATGTAAAAACAACCTTTTTCTGTCTTAATGTAAATAAATATTGCAGCCACTATTCCGTAAAATTGCGGCTGCCTTGCCAGGGATGGAAACCCTCTCCTCAACAAAACAGGAAGATATGGTTGATGTGAACCTCAAGCCTACTGTGAATTCATCCCAATCAGAGCAGCAGGGAGGAGGCTGTTCATGCTAGAGTTGCATAACATGGAATGACAAATGTAGCTTTCACAGAAGACCATATTGGGAAGCTGGAAGGAAGAGTAAATTTTGAGATTGGCTGATCTCAGAGTTAAATGAGATTCTAGCAGATTGGATGCTCTGGAAAAGTGGTTGGTCAATTTAAGAAAAGGTTGTTGATGTTCTTTACAATAGCTGAAATTATCATTGGTGCCGCAATTGAAGTTAGTTCAGTTATTAACACATGCACATATATCAGTGATACATAAATTTTTGAAGTTGTATGAATAGAGCGGCCTTTTTATTTGTTCTTTCAGTTTTCAATTTAAATTTTTTGGTAGAAAAATAAGTTTTCTTATCATGCAATATACTGAAATAGATTTTTTTTTTCAAAATTTAAAACTGAAGTTATGTCCATAAAACTGCAATATATCAGATGATTCTCAACCATCTAGTCCATCTATTGATTTTAAAGCAAAGAGTTCCAATAGAATTTTCACTATCCATGTATGAAACAGAAGCACAGTTATGTTTGAAGCCAATTCTTGGATCTGTCATGGTGTGAGCCTTTTATTTGTTGGGTCCTGAGCCTCTGAATACCCGAACAGGTTACAGGACTCCATGCTGCTGTATGGGTCCTGTTTACCCAGATCCAGCAATATTCATTAATAATAATTAACATTACAGATTTACAGTCTCACACTTTGAGTCAATAAGGGATTAAGGCTGCATTTGGCATTCCTTATTTTAAGGACTACTTATCTCCTTTTTGCAGTTAAAAACTCAGTTTTGATAGGGGCATTTTAACTGCAAAAAGGAGATGAGTCCTTAAAATAAGGAATGCCAAATGCAGCCTAAAGCTCTCACTTTAAGCGATCCACAAAACACCAAGAAGCAATAGCCTAGCCTTGAGCCTTCAACCAAGAAAAATTGCATTGGAGTGTGGGTTTTGACTGCCTTAAGCAAACAAAACAGAAATTAGTAAGGCTCAGTTTGGAAAGAACACAAATACAAATATGTACAGTGCAAATACATATAAAATAATATAAAATACAGGGTTTTGCACTCTACATAATTGTATTTATACTCCTGCCAAACTGAGCCTTAGGTTCATATGACCATTGCAAAGGCTATGTTTGGTTTGAAGGAAAAAGTAGGGAAAGGAAAGGAAAGGTCAGAAAACCTTTACAAACCTTGTATAGATTTTGATACCTTTCCTTTCCTTTCCCTACCTTTTCCTTCATGCCAAACATAGTCTAAAGGATTGAATCTGCGTACAATTGACCTGGCTTGGGCCTACTATACAAGTGATAGAGATCAAGTTAGATATTCAAGCGGTGTCGGGGCTTGATCTGTGGCTATGTCTCAAACCTGTTAATAATTAATCTTCTTGACGTAACACCATGCCAGGACTAAGATGAAGACGTGATCTCCAAATTAAAATATATAATATACAAATCATACACAACAATTAATCAAAACAGAGCAAGATGACATTAGAGATTGCAGGCTACATGCTCTTCATGAGTTCAAGATAAGTTTGTTGGTGGAAAAACCATAGAAGGCCTCAAACCTCAACACTTGCAATACTTTTCAACTAAGGGAATAACAATAATAAACATCCTTGTTATGTGGGTTAACACATCTCATGGCACTCCAATATTATGTAAAGCATATAAACATCATGATTTAAAAAAAAATAAAATAAATAAAATAAAAATCTCTATGTGACAGATTCACAAAATCCACTAAAACTCCTCACCACACAGGTTAGCATATCCCACAACACTCCAATATCATATAAAGCATATAAAAACTCGTTGGTTATAGATGAAGGGTTAGCATATCCCCTAAAACTCCTCACCACATAGGTTAGCATATCCCACAAAATCCCCTGAAACAGAATAGCTACCACCTTATTATGGTTATAGATGAAGGGTGAAAGACATATAAGAAAGGAGTGAAAGCTACCAAAACTCATTGGTAAACATGCTCAAACTGCAACAATACTGGAATACCCCCTGACGGCCAAGTTATTTGTTCAAGCTAGTTTTCTTGTATTTTAATACGAGTATGAGGCACCTTAGCCAAAATGGTTTTGGTATTTCTAAGACAAGGGGGGTGATGTTAATTACTGTTAATTGCCTCTGCACCATGAATTCAAACTTATGAGACCACATTCTCCAAAGAAAAATAAACAAACCAATTCTTGGGCAATAGGTACTATAAAAACATTATCGCCAATATAGCCTAATTTTCTTCTAAAATTTAAAGAGATAGCTTTTCTTTTGAGAACGATGAATGAAATAATTGTGCATCAAAGGAAAAAAATCAATAAAAAATTAGCACTAACCAATAGGCAATTAATATCCCTGTCTTCCTAGAAGGCTACTCCTGAAAATCAGCCCCTTGCATATACATCAGACCCAATATAATTCTTTTGTGTTAATACATTTAATTATCAGCCACCAAACTAAGTCAATCTCCTTATGCAGGTGAATGAGATAGTCACATGACTTCATATGACTATAAATGAATGGCCTGAATAAAGATGAATCCTGTAAGGCCCATGCATGAAGAACACAACTTTATGACAAATAATACATGTCAATTCTTTCATTCTAGATACACAATACTCCACAGGCACAGGCATGGATGTATAGAAATGTATTTATTTTTCTGGTAAATAGAAATGTATTTTTATGTTACACATAGATAAACAGAAATGCTAATGAAGAATGAAATCTACTTGGCAACTTTCTTAGTTTTCTTAATGAAACAAACTTTGCTTTTAAAAGTGCAAGGCACAAAAAAAAAAAAAAAGCTCAAGGGGCAATTTGTGCCAAGGCTCAAGGTGCAAGGTAAGGCATGCGCCTTTTCGAAGCAAAGTACAAAAGTACAAAAAAAAAAGAAAAAAATGTAAAGCATATTCAAATGAAATTTTAAAAATAAAATCAAATATATAAAACATTTTCAAACACGTAAAACTTATAATCTCTTTTTTCTCAGTTGCATTATATCAAATAGCTAATATGATTTAAAATATCTTGTATTACTTATTCTACGAGCCACCTTTATACTAAGCCCGCCAAAGCAAGTTCAAACAAGTCCATAGTAGGGTTTTAAATTCTTAATCCCTATATAAAAAAAATGAATTTATAATTTTAATTGCCTTTTAAAAAGATATTTTATTAAATAAACTAATGAACAATATTAGCAAAAGGTTAGCTTATCAAACAATAAACTTGTACAATATGACTAATTTCAAGATCAAACCCATCACTTGACATGGAAGAGTGTTTTTTAGCAGGAAATTGAGAATCTTATGAGAATGACGCTAGAGCATTAGGAACTAGTTCAAGTTGTCAACTACCCTGTTCAAACAATTAGAAAAAGAAACAACTTCTGAGTTCTATTTTTTATTATGGATACAATTCCTTAATCCCATTTCCCTATTTGCCTTGATAGGTTTTTTTTTTTTTTTTTGGATGGGTAAGATTTGGGTGTTTTAGTTCATGAGTGGTGGAAAACATGGTTGTACAGTACAAACTAAACTCTAACTGGAACTTTGAAAATCAAAGGAGATCAATAATCATGCCAAGGGTTTTCCCATAACCATGAAGGCAAGGTTTTGGCATCATATTCAGGTCTTATTAACAAGGGAAAATCCCTTAATTTATCTAATATAGGAAAATGAATAAGCAAATCATTAAATATGATACGTATAGAACATGGCTGGCAGGATCCGAATACATTCATTATCTTCTAAATTTTTTTGATATGTAAATAGTATGTCACATAAATAGATCATTTAAAATGGCAATTCATCATTTAAAAATACATACTAAATAATATAAATTAAATGTAAATTTTTGCACTACATATTTGTATTTGTACTCCTTCCAAAGAGTACAAATGCAAATGTACAGTACAAATACATGCAAAATAATACAAAATATAAGGTTATGCACTCTATAAATTTGCATTTGTACTCCTTCCTAACTGAGCCTTAGGCTGTATTAGGTTGCAGTGCAAATTTTTGCACTAGTATAAATGGCTGAGAATGCAAATGTAAAAAAATGCAAATTCTTGGTTAATTTTGTTTTGAATTTTACTTTATTCTGCTTCATGCCTTAATTTACTTCATTTATAGTGCAATCAAACAAAAAGATATTAAAATTTGAAATAAAAGTAGGTCAGAATTTTGAATTTACACTTAAATCATTTACACTGTCATGATTTTACACCAGTGCAAATTTATTTGCATTGCAACCAAACACAGCCTTAGCTACAATAGCTTGTAAATAGGATCAAGATGTAATATATTATATACTATTCTTGACCAACACATGGATGTGCTGACTTTCTTGAATATTATCAATGAATGATCTTAAGATTCTTTGCAACAAAAAATCCAAAGATTGAAAAAGAAGCAAATTGAAGAATACAATAATGGAAATATAAATTCAAAATTTAATATGGAAAACTCCAATAGGCATAGAGTTATAATATGTTTAGGCTGTGTTTGGAAACAATGCAGCAAATAAGTGTAAATGCAAATATGTAGAGTGTAAAACGGTCCATATAAATTGTAAAGGTGGGTTAGTTTTACATTGACAAATTTACCTTCTTACCAAATAGACTTTTAGCTGTAATGGATGCAAAAACAAATTTCAATAAAGCATGTCTTTTTTATTATCAAAAGCCCACTTGAATGCAAATTTACTTCTATTTGCATCGCCTAATAGATATAATTACCATTGGATTTGTTTCTAACGTGAGATTGATATCCTTTTAACACCAATGCCCATATGAAACAAATCCAATGGCTCTCATCATGTCAGAGCTCCCTTATTAACTTTCCATCATATTCTTCATACACAAATTTCAATTTGAGTACAAATTAAAAAAAAAAAAATGCTAGTCCTACATGCAATAACTCCATACACACATGGGGCTATACAACGATGGTAGCCCATCCCCTTAACCCTGGTACAAGTGGAATTTGATCCCAAATGTCTACTACGATTAACATGAGGCCTTATCAACCAATTAGCAGTAGGGAAATTATAAAAATGTAGAAAAAATAGAATTTTATGGTAAGGGCAATGATTATAAAAACTCAGTGGCACCAAAGCTGAGGAAAACTTGAAAAAATGTCCTTTATTTTCTTTATAAACTTCATTAAAAAAACAAAAAGAGACTTCAATGGCAATTCCTCCGCTAACAATCGGCTGTAAACAAGTTCTAAAGCCAGCATTTCCTCGTAAATATGAAAATAAAATTTTAATTTTACCATAAATAAATATATAAAACAAGTAGTA